TTCCAGGCGCCACGGCTCCGGTAGCTCAACCATCAAAGGCAACAGGATGGAGGCATCCACCAAGGCTGGCTCACGGCTGGGACCCAGGCCCTCACCTGCCAGCCCAGATGCTGGCGGTTGAATGGTCTCATTTCCCGCTGTCGAGAAGGCCCCAGAGTGAGCCAGGTAAATCTTGGGACGAATCTGAAGATGCCAACTATCCTAGTCCGTTTGGGCTGCTCGCACAAAAGCATGGTAGGCTGGGTAGCTCATTGCCACAGACATTTATTTCCCACAGGTCTGGAGGCCAAAGTCCACGCTCAGGGTGCCTTCCGTGGTCAGGATCCCTGCAGGCCCTGTTCCTGGCTGCAAACTTCCCGGATGCTCACTGTTCGCACATGGTGGGCAGGGCAAGGAACTTTCTGGAGCAGCTTTTGTAAGAGCACTAATCTCATTCCTGCTGGCTCTCTACTCCTCACCTCACCACCTCCCAATATCGTCACCTTGGGAGTTAGGTTTTAGTATATGAATTTGGGGGGGCATTGGTGAAACATTCAGTCTATAGCACCAACTTTATTTTATTTAAAAAAAAAATATTTTTTTTTATTGATTTTTTTACAGAGAGGAAGAGAGAGGGATAGAGAGCTAGAAATATCAAGAGAGAGAAACATCAGCCAGTCGCCTCCTGCACACCCCCCCCCCCCCACTGGGGATGTGCCCGAAACCAAGGCACACGCCCTTGACCGGAATCGAACCCGGGACCCTTCAGTCCGCAGGCCGACGCTCTATCCACTGAGCCACACTGGTTTCGGCAATATAGCACCAACTTTCATGGGCGCTGACCACAGCTGGCCTCACAGAGGGCACGTCTGGAGCAGCAACAAGAGGCGGACGGAGGGGGCAGCCTGAACCCAGCACTTGGCAGGGAGGGGCTTTTCCATTCTGGCCAGCATTGCCCTTCTGAGTGGGCATCAGAGAACTCGGGCAGTGGGTGCTGGGGTTCGGAGGAAGGCTTCAGGAGGGGGGGTGTGTTTCTATGTCATTTCTGGGTGTGTTTCCATGTCATTTCCTCCCCACCCTCCTTGGGTGGAGCAAGGTGAGGTGTGTGTCCAAAGGTTGGAATGCGCAGGCAGGACCGTTGCTTTGTTCAAACAAGGAGGGCGCCCTTCACGGAGGCAGCAGACTGAGGGGACCCCAGAGCAGCCCCCCAAAAGCAGGGACCCAGCAAAGGGCTGGGCATGAGGGGCACAGCCCGATCGGATCCTGGGCCCTGGCGGCACCCATCAGCCCAGTTCTTGGGGGGTTTGCAGATGCACTAGGGAGGGATGGTTTGTCGGTAGAAAGAGAACAGACTGAAAAGCAGGGGTGGGTGGGAGAAGGGAAGAGTCGCCAAAAACAAGGCTCACACTTGCCTCAAGGGCCGGCCCGGGCCTCCGGAGTGGCTGCTCTGTATTTAAGAAAGGATATTAAGCTGAAACCGTTTGGCTCAGTGGATAGAGCGTCGGCCTGCAGACTGAAAGGTCCCAGGTTTGATTCCGGTCAAGGGCATGTATCTTGGTTGCGGGCACATCCCCGGTGGAGGCTGTGCAAGAGGCAGCTGATCGATGTTTCTCTCTCATCGATGTTTCTAACTGTCTACCCCTCTCTTCCTCTCTGTAAAAAAATCAATAAAATACAAAAAAGAGAGAGGGAAAAAAAAAAGGGTGCTAATAAGAGTATAGGAGTGGGTGGCCAGCATGGAAGTGCCTGTGGAGATCGGAGCACAGGAAACCTGGGCCTGTGGCTCCCCGGTCAGGTCTGGAGGTCAAAACCAGAATTCAAGTTGACCCACCCCCGCCCTCCTTTTGCTCATCTGCTCAGCAGCCAGGTGGGGGCCAGAAAGGCAGGCAGGAAGGGGTCTGCCCAGGGAAGAGGAGCGTGCCCAGGCTTTAGCGGCAGCTGCATCATTCCTGTGACAGCCTGCGTCATCTGGATGGGGCTGGCTTAGGCCTGAGATCACACCTGGGGAGCAGGGGCCAGTGGGGAGAGACCACAGCTTCTCTGGTGAAACCAATGGCATTTGAGCAGGCCAGGTGCCGTAGCCAACAAGAATGGGATGGATCTGAAAGGGGACCAGGACTCAGGGGTGCTGAGGGAGGGACAGGGAGCGGGGTGGGGAGGGGAGAGGAAGGCTAGGAGCTACAGCTGCTACCTCAGTAGGTGAGGCCTGCATGTAGGTGGGGTGGGGGGAGCTCCAGCCCAGAACAGCTGGAGCCCGGCACCTGACATCCCAGGGAGAGAGTAGGACAGGGCGGAGTAACACAGCGGTGGCTTCTGTAAGAAAGACAGTCTTGCCTGGCTGCTCAGTGGTTAAGCATCGGCCTATGAACCAGGAGGTCACAGTGTGATTCCTGGTCAGGGCCCAGGCCCAGGCTGTGGGCTCCATCCAGTGTGGGGCATGCAGGAAGCAGCGGTCAATGATTCTCTCTCATCATGGATGTTTCTCTCTCTCTCCCTCTCCCTTCCTCTCCGAAATCAATACAAATATATTAAAAAAGAAAAAGAGACAGCTTTCTCCAGGAAGGGGCTTGGCAGGTGGCTGCCAGCAGACAGCACACGCCAGACTCCTGGTTCCTTAGCCTAGGGGGACTCCTGTGGTTTCTGCCAGGGAGGGAGAGGGCTGGCCTTGGCTCCGTGACCAGGATGCTCAGAGAACGTGCCAGCCGCGACCGACCTGAGGCCTGGAGCTGGGGGGGGGGGGGGGGGGGGGGGGCCGTTCTGGGACGAGGACTAGAGCCCACAGGGTGCAGGCCAGGCCCAGGAGTCTGAGGCCGGTCTTAGAGAGCGTGGACAACGGGCCCCAAGCCTCCTCCTGGCAAATGCTCTGGCCGCTGAAGCCATTCGACTCTTTGGGCCTAGATCTGGACAAACCTGGCGAAACGCGAAGGAACAGTCTGTACCCCAAAGCCAGTTCCAGGAGCAGGAACCGCCCCCCCCCCCCCCCCCAGTCTCTAGCCCTCCATCTACCTTGGTTTCCATGTTGGGCCCCCTAAACCTTCCAGTCTCCTCCAGCAACAGCCAAACCCAAATTCTCCACTAGAGAGAGGCTGCAGGTCACTCCCAGAATCTCTAGCTAATGCCACCAAAGACTTGGGGCCATCGTCTGTGACGCCCCCATCAGGTCCTGGGAGAGGAGGGGGTGACAGAGGAGCAGAAGCAAAGGAAGGAGAGATGGAAGCCCTTGCAGACCGCAGGTCCCGGAGCCTCATCTCCTGGCCATCATAACGCACGGCCACCCAGTTCCAGTGTGGTCCGTAACTGCTTCCTGTGCCCAGATGCCATTCCTTCTTAGTGGATTAGCAACAGCTCCGGGTGGTTCTGTGACCCGCAATCCTTTAGCACTCCACTCCAGAGAGCGGCAGGTGGGTCCAGAACCCTCTTCCCTGGTACCTGGCTCACAGGCTGAGGGGCACGCCCACCGCAGAAGCCCCCCCCCCCCCCCCCAGTGCCTGTCCCTGTGACTGAGGGGGAGGCGGCTGCACTGGGCATGGGCTGGGCTCCCACTCCGCCTCCTGCCAGGCCCCGGCTCCCTGCAGCTTTCCCTGGCCCGGCCCGGGAGCCAGGGAAGAGCAGGTGGGGAGCTGGGAGAGGTGTAACTTGAGCCGGGAGGAATTCCCTGCCCTTCCTCCAAGCTTTTATTAAAGCAGGGCGGGGAGAGGCAGGCTTCCATCGGAAAAATCTCCCCGGCAGGCGGCAGGGAGATGTGGGGAAGCCGCTGGGGGCTGGGAGAACCGGCGCTCAGCGGGCAGGCAGCAGCGGGAGGCTGCAGGCGGCTCAAGGGCACCCAGGCCGAGTCTACCCCGGCCACCCACTCTCCCTTCCTAGTCCCGGCAGGAAACCGGACCCTAGAAGGGGTGCCCTAGCCGGTTTGGCTCAGTGGATAGAGCCTGGGCCTGAGAACGGAAAGGTCCCAGGTTCCATCCTGGTCAAGGGCGCATGCCCGGGTTGTGGGCTCCATCCACAGCGGGGGGACTTGCAGGAGGCAGCCCATCCATGATTCTCTCTCATCAGGGGTGCTTCTCTCTCTCTCTCCCTCCCTCTCCCTTCCTCTCTGAAATCAGTCACACACACGTGGGGAAGAAGACCCCACTTTTAATGTGGGGCAATGGAGCTGGTGCCCTCCCTCCCCTGCCCCGAAGGATGGCGCTGGGTGGCTCCGCGGAGCCGCTGGCACTGGCTGGAGACCCGGCTCTTCCCGGGAGGCCGCACCTGACCGCCCTCGGGACCGGCCCAGCGTCGGGGCCCCAGGCGGACGTGGGTCGGGCTCCGGGTGGAAAGATGAGCGGAGCCGGGGCGCCGGGGCGCACAGGGGCCGGGGCGCAGACACCCCGGTGGCCCGGAAGGCCGGGGAGACCGGCTTTCTCTCTTGGCCCCAACCTGCCCGCGGCGCGGCTCGGGTCCACGAGACCAAGAAAGTCGCCAAAGCGCCCCTTCCACCCGAGTCCGCGGTCTCGGAGGTTTGCATCCCTTCCCCCATCCCGGCCCCGCGATCCTCGGCGGAGCCCAGACCAGGTGCTTTCTAGGCGGGGACGCGGGGGGCGCCGCCCGCTCAGCCCGCGCTGCCCCCACCCCACTCGCAACCGACGGCACGGCGCCCGCGGGCTCTCGAGGAATCAGCCGCCGGGGGGCGGGGGAGGGAAGGAGGGGGAGCCAGGGCTGGGGGGCGGGAGGGGGGGCGTCGGAAGCGGCTCCGGACGGGGCTGGGGCGGACCAGCGCCCAGGGAGGGCTGAGCGGTGGGGAAGGGGGGCAAGCCCTGCGCCCCCCGGGGTCTGGGGAGAGGCGCCCCGCAGAGGGAGAGCCCGGGGAGCCCGGCCCCTCTCTGCGCCCCCCGCTACACCCCCAGGAACTAGGGGGCTTGGGGAGCTCGTCTCCTCGCCCTCTACAGCCCGGACCGGACGCAGGCTGCGGGCGTGGCCCCCTCCCTGCCCCCCAAGTCTGCCGGCCCCCGGCGGGGTGCGCGGGGCGGGGGTCGGGTCCTTACCTCGGCGTTGACTTCGGCGTCCTCCGCGGCGCCGCGGCCCAGGCAGCCCAGCGCCACCAGCAGCAGCGGCAGCAGCCGCGGCCGCGCCGCCGCCTCCGGGCCGCCGGGGAGGCTGCCCGCCCGGGGGGACGGCCGTCCGGGCGCGCTCCGCTCGCCGCCCATGCTCCGCGGGGGCCGCCCGCTCCGCGTCCCCTCCGCGCGGCTCGGAAACCGGCGACGCGCCCTGGCTCCCCGCGCGGCGGGCGGGCGGGCGGACGGAGTCCCGGTCCCGGTCCCGGTCCCCGCCGGAGCCGCAGAGGTCCCCGCGGCAGATTCCCACGCCCGCGGCGGGGAGGCGGGCAGGGCGGGTCCGGGCGCGCGGAGCCGGCCCACGGGGGGGAGAGGGGCCGGCCGGAGCCGCCAGCCGCCGGGTCGGTCCCGCAGCCCTGGGCGCCCGGGGCCCGGCTCCCCGAGAGCGAGCGATCGCAACTCCCGAGCGAGCCTTTGTCTGGCTCAGCGCCCCGGCCGCCCGGCCCCGCGGCGCCCCCCGCGCGCCCCGCTCCCGCTGTCCATGCCCGGGGCCGGCGCTGCCCGGAGCGCGCGCCTCCCGCCCGGGGACCCTCCCCGCTCGTCCCGCGCCCCGATCGGGCCCGGGTCCCCCCGCGCAGTCCCGGGAGGAGGCGCAGGGAGCCGGTCGGAGCGAGGAGCCGGCCCGGGAGCCGGAGCCCGACGTCCCCGGCGAGTTGGACGCAGCTGGGGCGCTCCCAGCCCTCCTCCCGGCGCGCGGCTCTTAAAGGGCCAGCGCTCCCTCTCTCTGCGCGCGGCCGCGGGCGGGGGGCGGGCGCCGGGGGGCGGTGTCTTCGGCGGAAGCTTCTGGGTAGCAGGTGCCGGCGGTGGGGCCGGGCGGGCGGCCCTTTCCCTCTTTCCCAGGCGGCGGGAACCCTCCCCAGCCAGCCTCCTGCACTCCGATCCCTGCTTTTTGGAGAGCGGGGTGGACCCCTAAACTAAGTGACCCCCGCGCCGAGCGGGTAAGGAGAGAGGAAGGCTCCCGCTGCTCCCACCCGGGGGGTGGGTGGGGCTGCTGAGGCCACGGTGGGCAGGAAGGGGGGCTGGGAGGAAGGACCAGTATCCTGTTTTAGGCTTAAGTAGCAGCAGCAACAACAAAAGATAAACAATACCTAAGGGTCTGTTGTTTTCTCTAAAGGCCGTCCAGTCTCTGGCCCTCCCAGGGACTTTTCCTAATTGCAGAGGGAGGGGCTGGGCGCGCTGCGTGTGCCTGCAGGGAGAGCACGCGAGAGGTGGGAGGGACGGGTAGCGACCTGCGTTCCCTCTCCCCTGGGCACGTGGCCCGTTACTTCATTTTTCTGAGCCTCCAGGTCCTTACCTGGGGCACGTGGGCTGAGGGCCAGGCATGCTTCCGGTCCCTGGCCTGGCACACCTCGGGTTTCCAAGTGGAGGACACTATTGTGTGCAAGTGCAATGTGACTGTTGGTCAGTTTTGAGCCGCCCCCCCCCCCCAATCTGGACCTCAAAAGCCTTGGGGGGAGGGGGAGACTCTAGTCTATTCTGAAGAGGCTGTATGTGCCCACAGCAGGGACAGCCCTGGCCCAACACCTAAGTGTCAGAGGTTGGGTGTGAAGGCGCCCAGCAGGGCAGGAGGGCTCACCGCCCCTCCCCTCTGCCACCTCCCAGCCCGGAAATGGGAGCTTTCCTCTCCACAGGAGCTTTCTCTTGAAACCTCCCCGTCACCTCCTCGCCCCTCCCTCCCCGCCCCCACCCCCAGCCTCACCCCCCGGAAATGGGCAGAGATCTGGCAGAGTTTGAGAAATTGACTTGTTCCCGGACTTGCCAGGTGGGAAAAAGGAGCACTGTTAGAGAGAACAGACTGAAGTTAAAGCGGCAAAGATAGATTTTAAAAAGCAAAACAAGCCCGGCCAGCGTGGCCCAGGGGTTGAGTGTAGACCTATGAACCAGGAGGTTACGGTTCGATTCCCGGTCAGGGTACATGCCTGGGTTGTGGGCTGGATCCCCAGTGTGGGGCGTGCAGGAGGCAGCCAATCAATGATTCTCTCTCTCTCTCTCTCTCTCTCTCTCTCTCTCTCTCTCTCTCCATCAATGAGAGAGAAACATCGATCGGCTGCCCTCTGCACACTCCCCACTGGGTATGTGCCCACAACCAGGGACAAGGTGGATTGCAAGGCCTTGAGTGTGGTGGTTCCTCCTTACCTGTGATTTTGCTTTCCGTGCTTTCAGTTACCTGCGGTCAGTCGTGGTCTGAAAACTCCAGGAATGAACAATGCATACGTGCCCTGGCCAATTTTGCTCAGTGGTTAGAACGGTGGCCTGTGGACCGAGGGTCAAGGGCTGGGTTGCAGGTTCCTCAGCCCCAATAAGGGCATGTGGGGGCGGCAGCCAATTCTCACGTTGATGTTTTCCCCCTCTCTTTCCCTCTCTTCCCTCCCTTCCACTCTCACCAGAAATTGTTAACGTAAAAAAAAATAAATAAATAATTGAAACCTGTAAAGAATTTTGTGATTTTATTTGAGCCATATTGTTGACATATGCCGGGAAGCAGAATCCCAAGGAATTGAGATCATGCTCCGGAGAATGACGGGTTACATCCGTATGTATACATTGTCAACCGAGGAGAGACATAGGTGGGTTACATGAAACTCACTGGTGATGGATTAAGGAGGTGGGATAAAGCAAAGCGGTGGGAAACCCCTGGGATTGGATAAAAAGTAAAATGATGGACACATCATACTCAGGCGGGTGCAGGAACAATGAACATGATAATGAAGGACTCTGTGGTATCTGTGCTGGCACCCACCACATTTGCTTGGGCCCAGGGACTCCAGAAAAAGGGAAGTTACAAGTTACCCAGACATTTCAAGGGTATGTTATCTCAGATGCAAAAAGACAGAGAGGCTCAGTTAAGGGAAAGGTTGACCTTGTCATGAAGATACGGGCCTAGGATGTAACTGCCCGCTGTCACTGCATTTAATTAAAGTTTGATTTCAGACCGTTCTTTGTGGTGACTTGAGGTCTCTGAGTTTGTAATACCGTCACACAGGCCTTCCCTGAGTTGGTCAGGTCAGCATGTGGCCCCTTCCGTCCACAAAATCTATGGGAAAAATATCCTTGGGTGAGGGTGATAAAAACCCATAATGCATACATTATAGATTGCCATCATTCTGAGTAGCGCGATAAAATCTGGTGACGTCCTGCTCCATCCTGCTTGGGTCGTGAATCACGCATGGGGCATGGTCCCAAGGCCTGGGAACCACTTTGATGTCTTGGGTGGAGAGGGAAAAGGCTGCGAATGTAGCACATGTATCAGCCCGTCTATTTCCTCAGGCCTCATCGGGATTTTTTTTTTTTAAATATTTTTTTATTTTATTGATTTTGTACAGAGAGGACGGGAGAGAGATAGAGAGTTAGAAACATCGATGAGAGAGTCATCGATCACCTGCCTCTTGCACACCCCCTACTGGGGACATGCCTGCAACCAAGGTACGTGCCCTTGACCGGAATCGAACCCGGGACCTTTCAGTCCCCAAGCCGACGCTCTATCCATTGAGCCAAACCGGTTTCGGCCTCATTGGAATTTTTTGTGCTATGTCCCTCAGGTTTCTTTTTATTTTAAAGATTTTAAATAGATTTTTAGAGAGAGAGGAAAGGAGAGAGAGAAAGAAAAACAACAACAACAACACACACACACACACACACACACACACACACACACACACAAAAAAACCCCAACCACATTCAACATAGACGTGAGAGTGAAACATCTATTGGCTGCCTTCTGCATGAGATTGAGCCCCAAACCTGGCATGAGCCCTGACTGGGAATCAAACTGGCAGCCTTCTAGTGCATGAGACAGTGCCCAACCGACTGAGCCACACCGGCCAGGCTGGCCCTCGGTTGTAACTGCAGCGATCTCCTGGGGTAAGAACAGCGCCTCTAGGAATTCTGCTTTTTGGAGTCCATTTTTTACTGGGGTGCCAGCCGCTGTCACGAATCCTCCGTGTTTCTACAGCATACCCAAGCCAGGTGCCAGCCCAGAGGCACAGCGGGTATCGGCGTGGATGTTAGCCGTCCCTCTGCTCCTGTGCCAGCCCGAGGAAGAGCCATGAGTTCAGTAACGTGGGCCGATTTGGCATTTGGCGGGGCTCCGTACTCTAGAGGTTTATGTTGGGCTGTGATGGCATATCCAGCCTGGAGCGAGGTCAGCTTGGGAGAGGGGGTTTTCTGGTAAAGTTAGCCTAGGACAGAATCATGACCTGGTGTGACTAATACGACTGGGTGTCCCATCCGTGGGCAGAGGAGGCAGGGTGAAGGCAATGACAGTGATGTATGGTGATGGGAGAGGGAGAAAGGAGTAAGGTTTCATAGGAGGTAAGTTGAGACGCGGAAAAGCGCTGTGTATTTTGTTACGCGGAGGGGGCCGCGTAGCCTAAGGAATGTATATGCTGAGCGGGTGACCTGATACCACATCAGAGGTGGCTGAGCCAAGTGTGGTGGTGGCAGCCATGGCTCACAGGGGCATATGCCTTGGCCTCTGGGTCAAAGGCCAAACTCTCATATCCCAGAGGTGTCCATCGTGTTTCAGGGATAACATTCCGAGGGCGTTACCCTCTTGCTTCGTGCACAAGCAGAAGGCAGGGAGTGATGGAGAAGTCCGAGGAGGGGAGGCGAAAGGAGGGAGTCCTTGTCCGGCCAGCGTGGCTCAGAGGTTGAGCATCGACCTATGAGCCTGGAGGTCACAGTTGGATTCCCGGTCGGAGCTCATGCCCAGGTTGCGGGCTCAGTCCCCAGTGTGGGGTGTGCAGGAGGCAGCTGATGGCTGCTTCTCTTTCTCATCATTGATGTTTCTGTCTCTCTGTCCTTCTCCCTTCGTCTCTGAAATGAATAAAAAAAATATATTTAGAAAAGAAAGAAAGAAAGAAAAAAGGAAAGAAGAAAGCCCTGAAGGTTCTTGGGAGCATCGTTGGATAGGGGGTCCCAGACTCCTGGGGATGAGTCCCTAGTCATGGCATAGAGGAGTGAGGCACTCGTGGGGAAATCAGGCGTCCACATGGTACCCCACGAGACCTAAAACACTTCGGCTGTCACATTCTGGGAGAAGAAAATGCTGAATTGTAGAGGCTCTGTCTGTGGAGACAGGCTACCTGCAGCCGGAATATCATGACCCAGATACGGAGAGTACAGCTGGATATTGTCTCCAGCCACCTGGTGGCCCTTTCTCACCACCGGCTTAGGACGGTGTTCAGTGTCCAGAGGAACTGTCACAACCCTCAGAACGGAGAAGGAGGCCATCTGCATATTGTCTTAAAGTGGAGTCTCCTGGGAATTTCACGTCCCTCCAATTGGCCATTAGGGGGCGCAAGAAGGAAGTAGGAGGAGCCTCCGTCAACCCTTGGGGCATAAGAGTCCAAGGGTATTGGTGGTTATCCCAGGGGAAGGCAGACAAGTGTAGGGATTCCTTCCAAAGGGGGCCCTAAACCAGACAGAACAGGAATCAGGGACTGTGAAATGCTGGGCATTGAAGGAACACCCTACAGTAGGGGTGTCGAACTCAATCAGAGAAGGGGCCAAAATCTAAAATCCAGCCTAAATCGCGGGCCGAATGGTTTACTGAACAGTCATAAACTGTCATTGTGATGGAAACGCAGCGGAGTGCAGTGATGACAGCGCGGTGCGGGCCACATTGCAAGGCCTGGCGGGACGGATTTGGCCCGCGGGCCTTGTGTTTGACACATGTGCCCTACAGGATAGTGTTGGGATTGGGGGCCAAGGTAAACCTGGGTTTGACGACTCTGTTGATAGCTCGCAGATCTTGGACTAACTCATACCCTTGCCTCTTTGGTTTTCTGACAGCCAAGAGGGGAGTATTGCATAGACTAGAAGTGGGGACCAGACTGTGTTTTGCCTAACAAACCTTGGGGTGTTGGGCAGAGTCCCTCAAGTCCTCTGGCTTTGAGTGACGTTGGGAAACCATGGGGAGGGGCCAGCAGCCTGCAGGCAGAGGTCCAGGTCGCTCTGTCTGATGGTGGTTATGATCCAGATCGGAGCAACGGCAGGAAGCACGGCTAAAGAGAACCAGAGCCCTAACCGGTTTGGCTCAGTGGATAGAGCGTCAGTCTGTGGAGTGAAGGGTCCTGGGTTCGATTCCAGTCAAGGGCATGTACCTTGGTTGAGGGGACATGCCCAGTGTGAGATCTGCTGATTGATATTTCTCTCTCATCCATGTTTCTAACTTTCTATCCCTCTTCCTTCCCCTCTGTAAAAAGTCAATAAAGATTCATTAAAAAAAAAGAGAGAGAGAGAGAGAGAGAAAGGAACATTTGTAATAATATGAACAATAAAAACTTATTTAAAAAAAAAAAGAGAGAGAGAGAGAGAGAGAACCAGAGTTGACAGAAGTTAAAGTGGTAAAGATGGATTTTACTCAAAAAACTATTGCAGAAAAGAGAGAGAGGAGAAACCATTGCAAAAGGGAGAGACTCCAGTATAGAATGGGTTTCAATTCCAAATACAAGCAGAACAAGCGGGGATTTATCAACAAGGAGCAAATTGTGTGTGTGTGTGTGGGGGGGCATTGGTGAATGGGAACTCACCCAGAGGAGAGAGAGCAGAGGTCAGGCCCAGAGGGATTCTGGCTGAAGGAGCCATCAGGGTGATCAGATCACTTGGGGGGGGGCAGTGGGGATGGGGAGTTGGATTGGGTAACCAAAGGTGGGGGTTTCTTGCTAATCGGATTCAGCGGGATTCTAGATAAAACTGGATTCTAGAAGGCAGTGCACGCCCGGGCCTTGCTGGGTGAAGGGCTCAGGGCGGCCAGGCTGAAGTTTGGTCACACGGAGAATCATCAGCACCAGTAGTGGGTGGGCATCGCCTGGTGTTTGACAGAGGCTCCCGGGGGGAAGGAAGTCTGGGTTTGGAGAAAAGGTGGGGCGATTTCACCCCTTCCCAGGGGCAAGCTTCTCTGTGGGGTCCCTCCTTTGGGAAATGGATTTCTACTTTTTTTTTTTTTTTTTTTGCTCTTCAATGGCCTTTTGGGAAGTGTACAGTCAGGTCAGAAATGAACAACAGAGCTATCCCAGTTTAACTGCACTTGCCATCTCCCACACTATTTATTCCCAAGCAGCCATTTTTTATTTTTATTTTTTTAATTTGAGTTTAGGGTGCTGCCCACTAAAGAGAGGTGCCTGGGAGCCATGCGCTTAGAGGCCTATTGTTAACTAACTGGGTCATTGTTTTTCTCTTGGTAGGAGCCTCCTCTCGTGTCCATCCCATCGGAAGGAGATGCCATCCCTGGGACCAGACCTGGAAGTGCCCAGTGATGGGTTCCGGCTCCTGCAGGTCGCTCCGCGGGGCCCGCGGTGAGTGTGCGCGTCCATCCCTCACCGGGCTCTGTGGCTCTCCGGGGTCTGGCCAGCACCCAGGGCTGGAGGGGACCAGGGGGACCGAGAAGTGAGAACCCCAGCCCTGCAGTCAGCCAGCTCTAAGCATCATCCACATTTTCCCGTATCGTTTCATCTGGAACTTGCCTCCCCCATCCCTTTCCCCTGGCGTCTTCGGAACGTAAGCCCGGACACGGCATTTCCCAGCACAAGCTCCTTCTGAGACCCCGCTGCAAGGAGGGGCTGTCCGAACAGCTCTGGATGACACCGGGTTCTGGGGGTGCCTGCCCCCACACCGATTTACGGCTCCATGGGGTTCAGTCGTGAGTGGGCCCGATGCGTCTCTGTGGGGTTGTTTCCCCATGCAGTGTTTCCCAAACTTCTGACATACGTGCACCCCTTCTATAATTTCCGTAACGCTGAGTACCCCTCGTGCTCATGAGAACGTAGAATTAGGCGCAGCTAAGCATGGTTCAGTGCCTATCCCCACCAAACTCCGGTGCAACGCGTACCCCCACCAAACCCTTCCCGTACCCCTGGGGGTGCGCGTACCTCACTTTGGGAAACACTGTTCAAGGGAAGGTTCTGGCTCAGGGAGTGGCCGAGGCCCCTTGTTTGGTAAAGCGAAGGCCCTGAGCATGGGAACCAGGGCCCCACCCCCACCCGGCTGCCCCACCTGCACCCCCACGGGCCTCTCAGGCTCCTGGTGCCACAAGACAAAGAATAAACAAACAAGACGAGGCCGTTTCCCGCTCCTCGGGAAGCATAGCTGGGGTGGTCTGTTCCGTGGCGCTGTGCGGATGGGCCGGGCGTGCCAGGTGGCAGCGGGCCAGCCGGGCGAGGGCTGGCCCTGCCCCTGCCCCTGCCCTGCGGGAACATCTGAGGACACCGAGGCCAGAGGTGCTGATTTTGCACCCTCCCTGGTGTGATAGCATCCCCACTCCAGCTCGTCTGTACTCCACGTCGGCCGGCCCGGGGCGGGCAGCCTGCCTGGGGCGCCCGGCCGCCCGGGTCCTGCCGGCTTCTCCAGCATCAGACACATCGCCTCTTAAGGAAGCGCCCCGGCGGCTTCTGCACTGTCAGCACGCACTCCAGGTCTGGGCGCCCGCCAAGCCCCTGCCGCCCAGCCCCCCATGAGTCTCCTGCTTCCTTCCTCTGTCACCACTTTCCATCTCCATCGAGGAGCCGCTTATTGATCTGGGTCCCTTTCTCAAAGTTGCCCCACGCTCATTCCATCCATACCCCTTGCTTCCCCCTCCCCACCCCCCCTTTACGCCCCCCGCCCCCAATGGTCCAGTCCTCCCAGCTTGTGGATGCAGGTGCTACATCACACCCAGCCCCTCCCAGGGAGGGCAGCACCCCAGACAGGTGTCCCCGATGAGGAAAGTCAGGTGGTCTGGGCCTGCCTGTGGGAGATGGGGTGGCTGAGCCGTGCAGAGTTGGGGAGGGGGCTTCTCCTCGGTGCACCCCTGCCTGTGCATCCTCCCTCCCCCCCATGGTGAGCATCCAGAGGCCCGGATGAGCCTGATTCACCCAGCTGCCCAGGTCAGGGCCTGGCACGGAGCAGGCGTCAGTAACTGCTGACTGCACCGCCGGATTGCCGTGTTCCTTCCGTGCCAGGAAAGGCGCTTGGCTGCTGCCGCTCCATCTCCAGCGTGGCCTCGAGAGCCAGCACGGACTGGCCAGTCAGAGTTGACTCAGCAGATCGACGTGGTGGGGCCGGGGAACAAGGCACCGAACGGGGACGGGGAAGCACAGGTGCGGGAGGCCTGGTCCCCACTCCCCACCGTGCCCTCCACTCTGACCGGGGCGGGATGGAGGCGAGAAAAACCTCCGGTTTCTCACGGGAGGGACCTCGGGCTGGTCCTGGAACCTGCTCCTCTGTATAACGGAATAGTCATTCCTCCCAGTTCATCTTCCAGGGGGCGTATTGGGAGGAACGGGCGAGAAAAGGGCTTTGAAACTGTTTTAGCATCTAAATGTCTGTTCTTACACCGATGACGAGTGGGACGGGCGGCCTCCAGACTCATGCCAAGCCCTGGGCTCTGTATGGCCTGTGTGATCTCACTGGTGTGCAACCTGGCAGGCTGGGCGGCCTCACCCCTACACCCACATCTCTCGTGGCCACGTTAGAAGTCGTAACGGACTTCCGGGGTCCCCCTGCCCCCCAAAACTGTGAAGCACCTGGAGAAGGGGGAGGGGTGGGTGGAGAAGCAACATCCTTTCCCACAGTTAGAAGCAACCCAAAGTAAAAAAAAAGACTGTCATGTTTTTATTTGTGGAAGATAATTTAACACTGTAACGTAAAAATATCTCTTTATGCGTCACGGGAAACCCAGGGGGCCGCCCGAGGACCAGCCCTGTGCTCTGTGAGGGCCGGGAGAACAAAACCCCCTGCAGCCCTGGCCCTCTGTCCGCGTCCCCGCGGCAGGCCTGCAGGCCGCTGGCCCCGGCTGGGAAGGCGCCTCCGCCTCTGGGAAAGCTGATGGGGAACCAGAGGTCACGGCCGAGCGTTGGAGGCCTGGCCGAGAGCCACGGGCGAGGCCAACGTGAAACATCTGCCGGAGTCTCCCCAGGCACCTGGCTGGGGCGAGTGGGAGGAAGGAATGGGGAAAACTGGTGCTGAACCTCAAATTAGCACCCTGCGCCGTGGCCCTGACATGGCCTTTGCCGGCGCAGGAGGAGGGGCCGAGCCTAGCAATAGAGGGACGAGCTTCATCGGGAGCGAGGGACTGACCCACCCGCTGAAGGACCCTCTGTCCTGGGACACGTGGCTTTGTAAAGGCTGGTCTGAAGCCAAGGGCCTCGCAATGCAAACAGCTGAGGGAGCCTTGGGGGGGTGTGTGGGTGTGTGTGGGGAGGGGCCGTTTGTTGGCGGGACTACAGTGCGGATTCTTCCTGAGTGTGGGTGGGCTCACCGGGTGACCCCCGTTTTTATTTATATTTTTGCATTAAAAGAACCACAGATCTAGAACGAGGGAGCCCGGTCTGCCCTCTACTGGTGGTTTTGGGGAACGACCACGGCACAGCAGCGCTGGACCTGCGAGCCGAAAGGGCCGGGAGAGGACCAGGCCCGGGGGCCACCGGGCCTCCCAGGCTGGCTCCTCAGCCTCTCCCCGGCTTGTGCCGGGACCTGGGGACCTGGGACGAGGAGGGCCTCGGGCGCTCACTTCAGAGGCACCGAGAAGAACTTGTTCCCGGACCTGCAGCGGACCTGCTCGGCGTGCACACGCAGCAGCAGCTCGGAGTCTTCAAACGCGTCCACGATTTCCTGCCGCCGGGAACCAGGAGAGGACAGTCACTGGAGGGGACTCAGGGAGCGGGCCAGAGGGCACTGCAAACAGCTGACAGACCCTTCAGAGGTGGTGATGAGGGAGACCCGGGCCCCGGAAGCTCCACCATCGTGTGGAGGTCGGCCCCACCACCCCAACTGGGCAGAAGGCGTGGCTGCAGGACAGGATCCAATAAAACCAGGATGGGCACCCGGGTCTGCGAGGGGGAGGGAGAACCCCCAGCAAGCTCTGTGCCACCTCCAGCTCAATCGGGCCCAGAGCAGGGCGGCTGCTTGCTGCAGCCCCTGGCTCTCTGGAGCACGCAGGCTTTGCTTGGCCTGCAGCGTGTTTTTGAGAAAACATACAGATCGGTTGCCAACATTAGGAACCGGGGAGGGGATACGGAGAGATCTGGATTTCTGGCTTCTCTGGAAAAACGGGAGTGGCAGCAACAAGAAGCCACATTCCTTCCCGGCAACACTCCCACCGTCTCCCTGCCCCAAGGAGGAGGGTCGGCAGAGTGTCTTCGGACCGACGGGAGAGGGACATAGTTCACCTCGTCACCACAGGAGAAAGGCCACGAAGGTGGATGATGTGCCTTACGCCCAGCACGTCTGACTCTTTCCCAACCCCGGCCGGGCCCCTGGGGGCACCCCAGCCTGTGACCTCCTGGCGAGGGGCGGGGACTTCAGGGAAGGCCCGCAGCGTCCTCTCGGACCCGTGTTCTGGGGCAGCGCTGCTCAGATGTCACCGCGCACACAGGTCCCCACGGAGCCTGTTAAAACGCGGCTCTGATGCTCTGGGCTGGGGCCTCAGAATCTGCCGCTAACAAACTCCTGGGTGCCGCTGCTGCCGCTGCTGCTGCTGCTGGTCCAGGGCTGCAGCCTCGGGGCCAGGTAAGCTGGCGGGGTCTCCTGCGATTTCCCAGGGATTCAGGGTTGCACACCTAACCCTCCAGGGCCAATCAGCACTCGCCTCGCTTCCCCACGCCCCTCACTCCGGAGTTCAGCACCTTCCCGGCTCCTGCTCCGGGAACTCACCTGCAGCTCCCTCAGGCACTGGCCTTCCAGCTGGAGACGAGCATCGCCCACGCACCAGGCCAGGCTGACGTGGAAGGAGGGGTCCTGCAGGGGAAGGGCAGAGAGGCGGGCGGTCACCAGGTGCCAAGGCCGCCGGCTCGGGCATCGCTGCAGATCCGTGAACAGAGCTGTCGTGGCATCCACGCTGGATCCCTGGACTGCTCCACGGGAGAGACCCTCAGTGCTGATCCGAGTTGGTCCCAAGCGCCCTCGCAGTGTTTCCCAAAGTGTGGTACGTGTACCCCCAGGGGTACGGGAAGAGTCTGGTGGGGATATGCACCATGCTTAGCTGCGCCTCATTCTACGTTCTCATTGAGTACAAGGGGTACTCAGCGTTACGAAAATTATAGAAGGGGTACACATACCATGTCAAAAGTTTGGGAAACAGCCGAGACCGGTTTGGCTCAATGGATAGAGCGTCGGCTTGGGGACTGAAGGGTCCCGGGTTCGATTCCGGTCAAGGGCATGTACCTTGGTTGCGGGCATATCCCCAGTAGGGGGTGTGCAAGAGGCAGCTGATCGATGATTCTCTCTCATCAATGTTTCTAACTATCTCTCTCCCTTCTTCTCTGTACAAAATCAATAAAATATATTAAAAAAAAAAAAAAAGTTTGGGAAACACTGCTAGAGGTGAACAAAATAGCCCTGGACCCAACTGTGTTCCCCCGGGTTCCTATGCTGAAGTCCTACCCTCCAATAGGACGGTATTTGGAGGCGGGGTCTTTGGGAGATAATTACGCCATGAGGGTGGGGCCCTCACGATGGGATAAGTGCCCTATAAGAAGAGACAGCTGAGAGCTTGCTTCCCCTCTCTCTCCACCACGTGAGGACACAGCGAGAAGACGGCCGTCTACAAACAAGGAAGAGAGGCCTCACCCAACAGGGACCACACAAACACCTGGATCTTGGACGTCTAGGCCTCACCATTGGGAGAAAATAAATTTCGGTGTTTAAGTCGCCCAGTTGCACGGTATTTTGTCCTGGCAGCCCGCGCTGAGGCAGTCCTGTTCCCACAGACTCTCCTTTACCGACGGGGGGGCGGGGAGTCCCTGAATCTGGGACGCGGGAGAGAACCCAGGCTCTGAGCCTGTTTCCTGATCTAAAACATTTGGACTGATGACACCCTTCTTAAGATGAGATGAACAAAAAAATCAAAGTGTCTAATAAAACGATGAAGAAATCATCACTGTCTCCATTCAAGTTCACCCTTCTCTGCCTCGGGATGATCTGGAAATAAGATATTAAGCAAAAACCAGCGGCCCTTTAAGGCCCTGAGACTCAGCTTGGAGTTCGGGAACCCCTGAAGACCGTGGGGGGAGGTGCAGGGAGGTATACAAAGCTCTACCCTTTGGGGTGTCAACACCGAGGAAAACTGCCTCTTCTAAAACTGTGAGAAGAAACATAAAACAATCTGGCGTAGAAGGCCTAACTCCTGCGCATGTTTAAGATGCATACAAAAGAATCCTAAGGAATGTCGGCCTGCTGGGACGGGCTGCCTCTGAACACACCTCAGACCCCTCCGCTTCCTCTGAGGGCTGGTGCTGGGGCCCCTTGGGGGTGGGACAGTTCTGGGGGGCCTTCAGTTTGCCTCTGACGGAGGCTGGTTTCGAGTGGAAGGAAGAAGGGGCCGCAGGAGAAGGAAAGGGCCCGTGGTTTACCTTGTAGAACGTGGTGAGGTCAAATTCCTCCATGACTCTGTCTACCTCGGACACCAGGTCCAGGAACTGGGTGTGGCCGGAGGTGACCTCCAGCCCAACGAAGGTCCTGGGCGGGAGACAGAAGCGGGGAGACCACGGGGGCGTGAGACGCAGCCGCTGAGAACGGGAGCCCCGGGGAGGCTGCGGAGGCCCTGACAGGCGGAGGGCCGAGCGGGCTGGACCGTCAGTGCTCACTCCCCGTCTCCTGCTCCTCCTCCCTCCGCCGCCGTCTGGAAACCTTCCTTCCCTCGGTCTAACCACACGCCTGCCTCCCTGCCTCCCTTCCTCCCCAGGGTCTGACAACGCTGACGGGAGTGCTTGCATCAGCCGCTGCCACGTCTGCAGACCCCGAAGCCCCCGGACGCGCGTCTCTACAGCACCACTTCCGAGCCGCCCCTTTCCCGGCTGCCCTCCCATCAGCACCCAGACTCGCCCTCTTTCATTTTTTAATCCTCACCGGAGGGTATTTTCCCCCCACTGAATTTTAGAGAGAGAGGAAGGGACAGGGAGAGACAGAGAGAAACATCGATGTGAGAAGAGACACATCCATCGGTTGCCTCCCTCATGCACTCCAACTGGCCTGGGGGCGGCATCGGACCTGCAAACAAGGTACGTGCCCCTGACCCGGAATCAGACCCAAGACCGTCTGGTGCATAGGTCGAGGCTCTAACCACTGAACCACGCTGGCCAGAGCCACCAGACACTGGTGAGCCTCACAAGCGTCCGGTGATGAGCGTATCAAGGACAGGCGTGTGACGTGGAAACGGGTCACAGAGCTGGAGATACGAGCTGAGTGTTAAATTGGGGGACAGAGCTGGGCAGGAACTCAGGTTTCCTTCTAGCCGCCGCAGGACGCCGAGATGTTTTCTCTGCCCCTGCCCCTCCCCCACGCCCCTCTATTATTCCTCTTCGCGAAAGAAAGGCTCAGCCTGGGGACCCAGAGCCTTCGTGGTCATAGAGTCGCGGGTTAAAACTACAAGCAAACGAAAAAAACGGCGGCAGACCAGGCCAGAAACAGAGCACCCCGCCCCAATCTTTATCCTAAAGAACCTTCTGGAAATGACGGGGCCCAGGAGGAAGACCCACCTGGTTTTCTCTTCGTTGGTATAAATCTTTACCCGGTCGGCTCTAAAGCAGAATCTGAAATTTAGAAGAAAAGACCACATTTCAGGAAGAATAAGGGGGTGGGGGGGGGAAGGGGGAAAAAAATAGTTTATAGTTTTTTTTTTTTAAAAAAAAGCACTTTGAAAATATAGTGAACTCATGGCGCACTTAGTATCGTCCCCCATTATCATACGGGCGGCAAATTGAACCCCAATATAGTGGAGCTGGACAAGACCTTAAATCATCACCCTGTTCAAGGAGCATAACAGCTTCATCCAGGTGCCAGCGAGATTTCTACGTTAGGAATAGCCAGGCCTTCCATCGAATCGGTTGAGACTATCTCAGCTTACCGATGGGAACCAAGAGTCTTATTGGTCACGTAGGTGGTAACGGACCACGGGAGTGATCCTCTGTTCCTTGTATATTTTTAAAAAGGACAATTCTGATCTCGCCTAAGCAACGACAAGAACAGTCCTATGTGCCAGGCACTTAACAACGCCCACTTCACAGACAAGAAAACCGGGGCGGCTGGGTTTGTGAGCCACACCTGGCACCTCAGCGGGCCTGATTCCAAGGTCCCTGCCCTCGAGATGCCCAGTGGTTTGGGTATAAAATTGGGGCAGAAACCGCCTCCCACCACTCGGATCAGTTACACAGGGACCGTCCGCTGCGTCCGCTGCTCTGGAACCAACCCCGGAGGATCCAGGGAGGACCTCGGGCTCTCTCTGGACTGCGCACTCACTCATTCTGCCCAGTGGGTGCCTACCGGGAGCAGAGCACCTCCAAGCAAGGGTGGGATGGGGGGAAGGGGGAGAGATTCCAAGAGAAGCCACATTCCTGGGCTTACAGGAACGTGGGCTCCGAAGGGACATGGGAAGGACTGGGTATGAGGAGGAGAGAAATGAGCTCCGGGGTGTAACCAGCCATGGGGTGGATGACTCTTAGGATTTCCCCCCGAGGGATTCTGGGAGAAACACCAACTGGGAGGGCAGCGAAGGAGCAGGACTTGGATGTGGCCAAGTCTAGGAGAAAAGGCATTTCTGGCAGGCCCATGTAGGAAACAGTTACGATTTTCAAAAAGTCCTAGAATGGCAGATACAACGAGAAGTGGGGTCCAGGTCCCCACGATAAGGGCACCCCGGGTCTCATGTCACTCTCCCAAGTCCCTCCTGAGCAGCTACCGCCATGCCCATGACCTGCACACAGACGGGGGCTCGATGGGTCCAGAGCTTACGTGGCGGGCCAAGCTCACAGAGGATGAGGTGCAGACGTTTGGCCTGCTAGCTGGGTGCTACACCTACATGGCCCTGGTAGCTCAGGACAGGAGGAGTCTGGGAGGGGAGTCTGGGAGGGGAGGAGGCGCTGGGCACTCACCTGGGGCGGGCGGCCACGCGCTCTTTCAGAGCCTGCACGAAGGGCAGGATCCAGTGGTGCCGCAGGACCACGCTCTGGGACAGGCTGAGGTGGAAGGCCTCCATCCTCACCAGCCGGGGCACGTAGGTCTGTGCGTGGGGCAGCAGCGCGTCCAGCAGGTCCGGGAACTCCTCCCCGGCGTCATCTGGAGGGCACAGTGCAGGGGCGGGCCATTCTCAGCGGGGCCACGACCGAGCGAAGGAGCCCAGAAGGCAAAGGCCTTTGTCACTCCGGGTTTTAGGAGAAAATTACCTTGACAGCAGCAGCCTGTGTCTATGTATTTTTAATAATTTAGCCTGGCCGGTGTGGCTCAGTGGTTGAGCATCCACCTATGAACCCGGGGTGTGGGGGGGCGGCATGGGGGAAGGACATGTGTGTCATGGTTCGATTCCCAGGCCAGGGCACATGCATGAGTTGTGGGCTCGATCCCCAGTAGAGGGTGTGCAGGAGGCAGTAGATTGATTCTCTCTCATCATTGATGTTTCTATCTCTCTTCTCCCTTCCTCTCTGAAATCAATTAAAAAAATACATATTTTGCCGAAACAGGTTTGGCTCAATGGTAGAGCGTCGGTCTGCGGATTGAAGGGTCCTGGGTTCGATTCTGGTCAAGGGCATGTACCTGAGTTGTGGGCACATCCCCAGTAGGGGGTGTGCAAGAGGCAGCTAGTCGATGTTTCTCTCTCATTGACGTTTCTGGCTCTCTATCTCTCTCCCTTCCTCTCTGTTAAAAAATCAATAAAATATATTAAAAAATATATATATATATTTTTATTTTTACTTTTTAAAAATATATTTTATTGATTTTTTTTACAGAGAGGAAGGGAGAGGGAGAGGGATAGAGAGCTAGAAACATCCATGAGAACGAAACATCCATCAGCTGCCTCCTGCACACCTCCCACTGGGGATGTACCTGCAACCAAGGCACATGCCCTTGACCGGAATCAAAGCTGGGACCCTGGAGTCCACAGGCCGATGCTCCACCCACTGAGCCAAACCAGTCAGGGCTATATATATATATATATGTAATATTTTTAAAAAGTACAGGAGGCACCCGTGGGTCTCGCCCTGGCCTCTCGCACGGTACTCACATGGGACGTAGACGTGGGTGGCCCAGTTGCCCCGCTCGTGGGGGAAGGTGCGCACCCGGCCCCCGTGCTTTGCGCTGTTGTCCTCAGGGGCCTCCTCGGAGCCGGGGAACATGTGCAGCACACTGTCCGGCACTGGCCACCTCTGGCTGGGGAGGGCGCTCTGGAGCCTGCGAGCGGGGAAAAAGGGAATGAGCACTGTCCTCCGAGCACCCTCTCCCTCCTCCGCACAGGGGGGCTGCGCCCGTTTCCCCCAGGTGCTGCAAGCCCCGTGCAGACACCCGCACAGCTCTTTCCCTCCCCGGGACTGCACCACTCAGAGTCCGGCCTCGGCCTCGGCTGGAAGCGCGGCTCTCCTGGGAAACTACTGGGCAGGCAGCAGCAATGTGTGGCTCAGATGGCCCCTTTCTTAAAGGGGCAGACTGAGCCTGGGCAGCACCTCCTAGGTCTGCGGCCTTGGCCAGCCCTGTGCCCTCTGTGGGCCTCCGTTTCCTCATCTGTAAAGTATACACCTCGACCTGATGGCGCCGAGGGAGCGGCTGCTGGAAAAGCACTCCGCTGCACCCACCGGGCCTGGCACCTCAGAGCCCAGGCTCCGCTGGTGCTGCTCCCTGCTGAGCCCCAGTCCCCAGCCTGGCGCACGGCGGGTGCTCCATAAGTCTTTATAGAATGAATGAAAAAAAAAAAAAAAAACCCAAAAAACTCTCCATGCTTTAGCTATTATTTATTATGATGCAACAGCGTTAAATGAGGAAACAGACCTAGGGCGGTGCAGTGATGGGCGCCAGGAGATGGTCAGCCACTGGCAGAGGCTGACCCCAACCCAGGATTCTGGCCTCTTAACCTGGGTCTAGCCGGGAAGGGGGTGGGGGGGGGGCGTTCTGGGGCTTTGTCCAGGGGTGTCTCCTGGAATCTCCACTCCTCCCTTCCTCCCCCCCATCTCCATGCCCTTTCTCCTTCCCAGCCCAGCCGCTTCTCACTGGGATCTCCCACCCTCCCTTCGGGGGCTCACGTGAACCCGCAAACCCCCCAGAAAGACGTCTTCGCTTCTCACCGAGGGCGGCCTCCAGCCCCCGGCCCGGCCTGATCCCCGGCCTCGGCCTCCTCCTCATCCTCGGAGCCGCTGCTGCTGTAGCCCACCAGGGGCGCCGCGCTCATGGGGCCTGCGGGCGACCACAGGGCGGCCGGCTCCCGCACGCACTCAGCTCCCGGAATCCGCGATGCCGGAAGTGCCCCTGGGGGCGGGGCCCTAGGGGCGGGGCCCACGTTAGCACCGCCCCTGGGCGGGGCATGGAGGCGGGGCCAGCACCGCCCAGCACACCCCCCCCTCCGCTCCCAGCCCGCACTGCCCACCGCTCGCTGTGGGTGCAGGGCAGTCCAACACCCCCTGGGTCCCCCCAGTCTCCGCGAGCCCATTCCGCAGGTCGTGCGGGAGCTCCGTCTGCAGCCGCCGGGACCAGGCGTCCCGGCTCCCGGCAGCCCCCGAGCCAGCGGGCCGCGCTCAGACCCCGCGGAGATCCTGCCCTCGTCGCCCGGGCCCGATCCGAGGTCCCCGAGCCCCCAGCTCCGGCCGGCCCCTCCCCCAGGAACCGGCTGAGCAGTCAGGGGGGTCACTCCCAGCGGACCCGGGGTCCAGGGGCCCTCCTCCCGGGTGCAGGGGTCGGGCCGGGGCCAGAACCCCCGCCCCTACGGCTGAGCGGGGTGCTCGGCGGCGGCGCACCCTCCCGAGTCAGCCGAGACGTGACGGCCGGCCGGGCGCCTGCAAAGCCGCCCCGCGCGCCCCGCGGTCCGACCCTGTCCTGCGCGGCCGGGCTCCGGGGTCCCCGGCAGGGGGCGACCTCGCTCCGCTCCGCGCCGCCCGCTCCTCCCGCAGCCGCCGCCGCCGCCGCCGCCCGGGCCGCCGCCGCCGCCGCTCCTCCTCCGGCCCCGCCTCCCTGGCCCCGCGCGCCCGCCCGCCCGTCCTCCGGTCCCTGCAAGGCCATCGGTCCGTCCGCCCGTCCTCCCGGCGCTCCTCCGCTCCGAACCGCTATCCCGGCCGCCTTCGTCGCCTCCTCGGTCCCGATCGCCGGTAGCGCGTCCCCCACGCTCCCGGGCCGGTGCCGCCGCTACGCGAGGCCGGGGATTGGGCAGCGCGCGTAGGCCGCGCCTCGGCCGATCGAGCCGGAATAAAGGGGCGGCCGAGCACCGCGGGTCTCCTCGCGCCCCGCGCCCGCCTCCGCGGGTGGCCCAGAGCAGGTGAGCGGCGGGGCGCCCGCGGCCGAGTCTGGGGGCCTCTCCCGCGCCCGCCGCACCCCTTCTTCCCCAGCCGTCCCACCCCCCACCCCCCCAACCATCCAGCCCGCCCCGGCGGCCTCCCTCCGAGCTGGGCGGCCAGGCCGGCCTTGCGGCGCAGCTGCTTCCTGGGCCGGGCCTGCGCCCCCAGGCCTTCCCGGGGGCCCCTTCGGCCGCGGGGCCAGCGCCCCGGCTGCAGCGGCCTGGCCGTGCCCGGCGGAGGCTGACAGGCGCTGCGGCGCGGAGCGGGCGGGCGGTGCTGGCGGGGAGGTGATGATGGGCTTTCATCCGCCCTTTCCGGGAGGAGGAGGAAGGGCTGGGATGGGTGGGGCGCAGGGGTGGCCCCCAGCCCCTTGCTTCCCTACCCCACTCTCTCTGCAGGGCCATCGGGGAGGCCTCGTGGCGGCTGCACCTTCCTGGAGCGGGTGGGAGTGGCGCTGGGGGCCCTGGGCCAGGGACCTTGCATTTGGCAGCCATTCGTGCAGGAAAAAACAGTTGTGTTGTTGACGCAGCCTAAACTGCACACCGCCCTTGCAGGAACCCGGCTTCCCTCCCTTCTGGGGAGCCTCTGGCACCTGCTGGCTCCTGCAACCTGCTGCCTCCGCCCAGAACAACGGCCCCTTTCCTCCTCTTCCCAGAAGATGGAGGATGACAGCGTGTAGCCCCAATTCTCATGTTTCTTTGGCAGAACGGTGAGAGAGGCCGGGCTGGCCTGGGAAGGGGAAGCCGCTTCTCTTTCCCTCAGGAGAAAACTTTGAAACTTTGTCAGTTTTTAGAGGCACAAGAGCTGGGAACCTGTGAGTGGGCTGCGTTTGATTCTAAAAGTTCCTTCCTCTCGCTGTCATTACCTTATGCTGCCACAAAGTGGTGAATTAGAGATTTGCCTGGACCGGGTGGTCTCTGCCTTCTATACAGAAGGCATACAGACCTGGAGCCAGGGAGCGGGATTGTCTCTGGAGAGGCGATGAAAAACACAGCTTAGGGGCAAGCTCATCATCGCTCATGATTTCCCGCAAGCCTCCGCACGGTCACATCGGAGGACCTAGCACTTTTTTTTCTCTCCTATACTCCGTGGGATCAGTAGAAATTCTCCTGTGGATGTTGGAGCTCCATGGGTCTGTGGACCTATCGTTTCATCCCGTCATGCACCGGCTCAGGTCCCCGCATGACCTGTGTGTAGAGCACATGTGTCAAACACAAGGCCCGCGGGCCAAATCCGTCCCGCCAGGCCTTGCAATGTGGCCCGCACTGCGCTGTCATCACTGCACTCCGCTGCGTTTCCATCACAATGACAGTTTATGACTGTTCAGTAAACCATTCGGCCCGTGATTTAGGCTGGATTTTAGATTTTGGCCCCTTCTCTGATTGAGTTCAACACCCCTAGTGTAGAGAGAGAGCAGTGGCGTGGTCAGGGCGGAGGGCCTGGGGGACCGTTGAAAGGGATGTGGGCCGGCCCCTCAGCAGAGCAGGCTTTGAGACGGCCCTTTGTTCCGTGCCGTCGTTTGAAATATTGGCGGATGGAGGCTGTTTGCTGTGTGGCCCTCGCACCTGGGAGGCCCGGCCTCTGTGAGCCAGCAGGCTGCTCCAAGCAGTGGTGTCCGGACTTGAAATTCAGGGCAGCAGCGGGAGAGGAGCTAGCAGGCCTCGGGGAGGCCCCGAACGGAGCCTCTCTGCTTTTATCCACCTTATATACGTAGGCTTTTTTTTTGCAAATAAGAATTTATTTGCAAAAAAAAAAAAAAAAAAAAAGTGATGCTGCTAAAATCATTGTTTTGGATATGGTAGCCCAAACTGGTCAGCTTTTCTTGGAGCCTGAGCAGAATTTGTGACTTCTTTGTGTGGTGGACAGACCACCCCGGACTGTCCCCTGTGAGGGAGGGAGGCAGCTGGTGAAAGGAGGTCCCTGTGCTGCAGGCAGAGCCTTGAAGTCTGTCTGAGGCTGGGACTCCCTGGCTCAGGTGGGGCGGAGACAGCTATTGTACCTTCTGCTGGAGGAGCTGAACTGCCGACAGACTTCTTATTTTCTTTTATATTTTATGATTTTTTACAGAGAGGAAGGGAGAGGGAGAGAGGATTAGAAACATGGACGAGAGAGAAACATCAATGAGCTGCCTCCTGCACACCCTCTGCTGGGGATGTGCCCGCAACCAAGGTACATGCCCTTGACCGGAATCAAACCTGGGACCCTCGAGTCCGCAGGCCGACGCTCTAACCACTGAGCAAGACTGGCCAGGGCCCAACAGACTTCTTTGGTGGAATGTGAAGGGAGCAGACCTCCTAGCCCCGAGCCTTCCCCTCCCCTGGTGTGCTTTATGTCACTGTGGCAAGCGCAGGAAAGGCAGGGAGAGGGCCCAGCGGCAGGGCCCTGCCTCAATCTCACCATTTCTCTCTTTCCTGCAGAACTCGGCATCTGGGAAGGCAGAGCCTCCCTCCCTGGCATTGTGGGCACCCGCCTGGAAGAGCCCCCTGAGCCGCCGGCAGAGCCTTGTAGTCTGTCTGGGCGAATGACCTGGGCCATCTGACCGGTCCCTGCTCTGTGCCTTGTCCGAGGTCCTTGTCTGCCCCTGATCCCGGGGCACCTTCTCTCTCTGGGTTGGGTCATCTTAATCGGGGAAACTGAAGCCGCTACTGTCCAAGCCCTGCTTCATCTTCCCAAGCATGTCGGAGAGCTGGCAGCAGCCGCCGCAGACGCAGCCGCAGCAGCCGCAGCCCCCGCAGCCCCAGCACCACCCGGAGCCGCCGCCGGCCCTGGCGGAGCATTCGCTGCCGCCCGGCACTGCCGAGAACCCCCTGGGCTGCGCCGTCTATGGTATCCTCCTGCAGCCCGATCCGGGCCTGCAGCCCCCGCAGCATGAGCCCCTGCAGGCGGCCGGGGAGCCAGGCCCCAAGTGCGGGGTGTGCGGGCACGACCTGGCGCACCTGTCCAGCCCGCACGAGCACCAGTGCCTGGTGGGCCACGACCGCTCGTTCCAGTGCACGCAGTGCCTCAAGATCTTCCACCAGGCCACCGACCTGCTGGAGCACCAGTGCGTGCAGGTGGAGCAGAAGCCCTTCGTCTGCGGCGTCTGCAAGATGGGCTTCTCGCTGCTCACCTCGCTGGCCCAGCACCACAGCGCGCACAGCGGCGCGGGCGCCAACGGCGGCCTGGTGAAGTGCTCCATCTGCGAGAAGACCTACAAGCCGGCCGAGGCGGCGGAGCCTGTGGCCACAGGGGCGGCGGCCCCCTCGCTGCCCCCGCCGCCGCCCCCGCCGCCCGCCGTGGTCCCCGCCGCCGCCGCCGCCGCCGCCCCCCCGGAGCAGGTGGACAAGCCCTACAGCTGCCCCGTGTGCCAGAAGCCCTTCAAGCACCTGTCGGAGCTGTCGCGGCACGAGCGCATCCACACGGGCGAGAAGCCCTACAAGTGCACGCTGTGCGACAAGAGCTTCAGCCAGTCGTCCCACCTGGTGCACCACAAGCGCACGCACAGCTCCGAGCGGCCCTACCGCTGCGCCGTGTGCGAGAAGACCTTCAAGCACCGCTCGCACCTGGTGCGCCACATGTACGCGCACTCGGGCGAGCACCACCTGTTCCGCTGCAACGTGTGCGAGCTGCACTTCAAGGAGTCGTCCGAGCTGCTGCAGCACCCGTGCACGCCCAGCGGCGAGCGGCCCTTCCGCTGTGGCGAGTGCCAGAAGGCCTTCAAGCGGCCCTCGGACCTGCGGCAGCACGAGCGCACGCACAGCGCCGAGCGGCCCTTCAAGTGCGACCTGTGCCCCATGGGCTTCAAGCAGCAGTACGCGCTCATGCGGCACCGGCGCACGCACAAGGCGGCCGCCGCCGCCGCCGCCGCCGCCGCCGCCGCCGCCGCCGCCGCCGCGGAGGAGCCCTTCAAGTGCGGCCTGTGCGACAAGGGCTTCGGCCAGCCCGGCCACCTGCTCTACCACCAGCACGTGCACACCCTGGAGACCCTCTTCAAGTGCCCCGTGTGCCAGAAGGGCTTCGACCAGTCCGCCGAGCTGCTGCGGCACAAGTGCGCCCTGCCCGGCGCCCCCGAGCGGCCCTTCAAGTGCTCCGCGTGCAGCAAGGCCTACAAGCGGGCGTCGGCCCTGCAGAAGCACCAGCTGGCCCACTGCTCGCCGGCCGAGAAGCCCCTGCGCTGCACGCTGTGCGAGCGCCGCTTCTTCTCGTCCTCGGAGTTCGTGCAGCACCGCTGCGACCCGGCCCGCGACAAGCCGCTCAAGTGCCCGGACTGCGAGAAGCGCTTCAAGTACGCGTCCGACCTGCAGCGGCACCGGCGCGTGCACACGGGCGAGAAGCCCTACAAGTGCCCCAGCTGCGACAAGGCCTTCAAGCAGCGCGAGCACCTCAACAAGCACCAGGGCGTGCACGCCCGCGAGCAGCAGTTCAAGTGCGTGTGGTGCGGGGAGCGCTTCCTGGATGTGGCCCTGCTGCAGGAGCACAGCGCGCAGCACAGCGCCGCGGCCGCCGCCGCCGAGGGCGCCTACCAGGTGGCCGCCTGCCTGCCCTGAGCGCCCGCCTCCTGGTTCAGAGGCCCCTCTCCACCCACCTCCGCGCTCAGAGGCCCTGGGCGTGAGGTCAGGAGAGCGCCCAGCAGGTGGTGAGAGAGAGGCCTGGCACTTCTGGACCCCGCCCGGAGGCGGGGGAGCCAGACGGCCCTGGCTGGTCCCCGCCCTGCAAACCGCTTTCCCACCAGAGGATTCGTCTTCTTGGGAGCCGTCGGCCTTCCTTATCTCTGGGGGGGGGGAGGGGGGGAAAGGGAGGGGGCCTGGAACCCAGACTGGAAGTCAGGCGGCCTCTCTCTGCCCCGAGGAGGGGTTAGCGCCAGCCCAACCTTCCCAAACCTTGTAGCCTGATTAGATACCAGATGCTTAGGAAAAAGGACAGCCGCGGTGGGGCCTGGGCGGAGGGCTGGGTGCAGGGCACCCTCCTTCAAGTTGCTGTCTTGGGGAGAAGCCCAGCCTCGTGATTAGTCTTGGGGACCAGGAGGGCGCCCCATGAGCCCCAGGCCTCTCTGTCCGCGCCAGCCAGGGGTTACCGACCGGGGAGATGGATAGGCGGGCTGCACACCTGTGGGCTGCGTCTGCCCGCAGGGCAGTCGGCCTGGCCAGAGGGAGGAGGCTGAGAAGTCCTCCTCCAGGGAGGACACCCAGCCAGGGACCGTCCACAGGGAAAGGGGGAGGGGCGGGAGGTCTAATCCCAATACTTTAGAAGCGCCCCTCCCCCCTCTGCGGCCTGGTTCCGAGCTCTGCTGGGGAGGGTGCTCTCAGCCGGACGGAGATGCCCATGTGATGGAGGGGGACTGTTAGGCCACGCGCATGATCTCCCCAGTGGTTGTGGACAGGTGTCCTCCCCCTTGAATTGCGTGAACCCAAGTGTCAAGGGTATGGCCTCCATCATATGGCCTGCGGACCCAGGGCGGGCAGGTAAAAGGACTGTGCTGATGGCCAGCCCACAGGAACCCTCCCCCGTCGGGGACTGCAGCGGTCTCGCATTGCCCAGACGGCCCCGGACGACATCCAGCCACTCCCAAGGCCAGCGAGTCCTCCCTCGGTTCTCCCTGCCTCTGGCTGCCCACACTGCGCGTGGAGCCGAGGCGTGGGCAGAGGGAGCCGGCGGGGAAGGGGTTAAGGAGATCAGTAGGTGGACGGAGTCCGCTGATGTCACTGGATGCAGAGGCCCTTGGGAAGCCCAGAGGACCTTTATCATGGAAATGATTGTTTAGGCCCCAGCTCTGCCCCCGCCTCTTCCAGCTCCTGCCCCGTCCCTGGTCCCGGATCTTAAAAGGAGACTTTAATCAATGCACCACGGACCCAGAGGAGCAGGGAGCCCCGCCCCGCCCCCCCACTGTCCCCTTAATACGCCTGAAAAGCACACCCACCTCCTCCGTCTGGCCGGGTCCCCTTCCCGACAGTCTCAATGCCTCAGAAGACATTGAACCCAGGCTGCCCACAGTCCCAGCTGCTCCCTTTTTTCTTTTCACCTTGCTTTCTGAAAGCTGTTGTTATACTCTCCGTAACATCGTCTGTTTTAATTTCATGTCGTTCTGGATCTTCTATAAAAACGTGAGCATTTGGATTTTTAAAAAGAACGTCTCCATTTTAGATAGCCCCTTTTGATGTTAATATATATAGTGAGTCCAATGTACGCTTTAGAAGTAAAGACATTGACCATCACAGACCACAGCGCTGCGTGTCCTGGTGGTTCTTCCCGGGGGGCGTGCTGGGATGCGGATGGGGGGCAGAGAGGGTGCGGGCCAGGGTGGCAGGCTGGAGACTGGGACCCAGGCCCGGTTCAGATCCTGAGTTTTGAGCCTTGTGGTTGGGTGACTGGGCAAGACTCTGGAAACTCCCTCGCCGGGACTCATCTGTAGAATGGGGAGCCTAACCCTTCTCTTGCTTGGCTGTTGTGCGCATTGAATGGAGTCATGGTGGGGGCCCCGGTGGGGGAGCCGTGAAGATGCTGACAGTACCAATGGCAGGCTACCTGGGACCCTCAGACACGGCCCTGCAGCCCTGGGTCCGAGGACTAGCAGGTCACGGATGGTCGGAAGGCGCTTGCTCAGCGCCCAGTGGAAAACCAGCGCCTGCCTAGAGCAGTGATGGACCCAGAGCGGTGCCTGCTTTCACCCGCTTCCACTTGCCCTGTGATCCATCTGCATGCCCAACCCATCCCTCCTACCTACACCCCTTTTCTCCTGTACCCCAGCCCTGAATCCCGGCGGACCAACTGCAGCTCAAGCTTCTTCCATTTCTCCAAGGCAGGGGCGGAGGTGGGGAAAGAGAGGGAGGAACAGCCTTCCCAGGTCAGGCGTCTGAGGGCCAGCGGAGGGTGGTCAGCAAAGACACGCTGTCCCGGGGGTGGGGGTGGGAGTTGAGGCTGGAAAATCAAGAAGACGGGGAGCTGCCCACAAAATGAGCACAGAGGGCTTAGTGGGAAGGCTGGGGGGGACCCCCGATAGGACCCGGACCTCACGCTTTTATTTCCTCTGCGTGTAGCCACAGGACAACCTGCCCCTGAGCCTGAGAAACCTCTCTGCAGGCGGCCACCACTCAGCAGGAGGACGCCCGGTCCTCTGTGCCTGAGCCAGGCTCGGGTCCAGCTTCCCTTCCAGCTGCATGCCCCCAGGCAAGCCCCACCCACCCCACGGAGATGCCTGGGAAGCACTGGCAGGGGGCTGCTGACTTACAGCTTCGGCTGCCCTGCCCGAACGGAGGACGGTCTGCGCGCAGCAGAGGTAGGAGCAGCCCTGGCTGGGAATGAGTGGCTGAGCCCACGTGGAGCCTGCAGTGACTTTTCCTCCCTTTGTCACCACCCCAGTGATTGGATAGAGTGTCGGCCTGCAGCCTGGGACCCTCCCTCCAGTCCTCTCCCTGCCCTCCCTCCTTCACAAACCACTGAGCCGCCTAGAGCTCCCCCACCTGGCCCTCAGCCTCTGCTCCAGCTGGGCCCACCCAGCGCCGTGAGGGAAGCCTGGAGGCTGTTTCCAGTCCCAGCCCTCTGATGACAAGGGCGCGCGGGCCTCTCTCTGCCCCTCTCGGGGCCTTCATTCTCCCTCTGAAGCAGCCAGAGGTCTCGACCCCTGATCTCCAAAGGCCCTTAGGACCCAATGGCTCTGATTCTGGGGAGGTGACAGGATCGATCCATCTCTCCTCCTCCCTCCGTGTCTCTCCTGGCCTCCCACCTGCCGCCCTCCGGCCTCCGTCTGCGTTCTCTCGGTTGTCAGTGGCGGGAACGGCACAGACGGGCTCACGCAGCTGCGCCATGCACCTGGCCACACACACGCAGGTGCCTCTCTCTCCTGTCCCGAGTCTGAGGCGACTCTCCTTCTCTTAGAGCAGAGGTGGGGAATGTCCGGCCCGAGGGCCATATAAGGCCACGGAAACCCCGTTCGGTCTGGCCCGGCCAAAGCAACTGCAGGCGGGACTCAACATTCAACAGATCTAGGAGGTTTCTTTCACAGCAACGTAAATTTCTATGAAGTGAATGACGTTAAGCAGATGGTGATATAAATATCCAGATGGCCCTCGGCAGAAGCAAGGTTCCCCACCCCCGTCTTAGAGCGTGGCATTCTCACAGGGGGATTCAGACGTGGTGGCCAGGGTGGCAGCCCAGCACTGTCTTCCAGTCTCTGGGTGATCATCCCCTTTGCCCCAGCCACTGACGGTACGGCAAGAGGGTGGCACCTTGTGGGGGGGGGTGTGTGTGACATCCGGATGCCAGCCAGAGCTGGGAGGAGCAGGAGGGGGAGGCCGACGTAAACTCTCCCTTTTGGAGTTAGTAATTCCCGCTGGCTGGGGGGAGGGCACTGCCCTGGTGGGGGTGAGGGCATTCTCCCAGGGTCCACAGGTCATCGCCGGGGCGGGCAGGGCCACCAAAGACAACTTCCCCGGGAAGCCATCACCCTGGCAGCTCCCTCCAATGCCCACCGTGCGGCTGGCTCTGTGCTCGGCCCGGCAGGCGACAGTGGGAGGGGACCCTGTGCTTGTGTACTGTGGCGGCGTGATGGAGCGTGCGCAGTCTCAGCTGGCTAGTGTCCCGCCGCTGTCACTCATGTGGCAGGTTGTTGACTTTCTGAGCCTCATTTTCCTCGCCTGTGAAATGGGGCCAGTATTGCTCTCCCCTGGGCTTAGGGCGAGGGCGTGGGAGAGGTGACCTGTGAGCAGTGTTTGGCACGTAGAGGGGGGTGAGGGGGCAGAGGAGGGAGGGGGCTGGCCAGGCTCTACAATCTGAATGCCAGGGGTGTCCCACTCCCCTCCACACCCTGTTCCCAAGACCTGTCCCCTCCCCCAGCTGGCCTGACCCCATGCCATCCCCCTGAGATGGGAGGGCAGACCCTTGAGATGTGCGGGGCTGCCGGAGGCCATGCGGTTAGCGATAAGGCGCCTGGCACTGCGGGCGCTGGCCAGACGGGTCTGGGACCGCACAGGCTCCAGCTCCAGCCACTGGCGCCCGGGGCGCTGGCTCCCACCCACTGCAGCTGACCAGGAAGCCGGGACAATGGCCGGCACTGGAGCTGGCACTGGGTCTGGCCAGGGGAGCTCTTTCCCAGCAGGCAGCGGGGGCGGCCAGCCCTCTGCTTCCTCAGAGGCCCAAGCCACTGGGCTCTGTCCTCCCATCTGTGCAGAGCAGCTTTAGAAAGAGCCCGGGCCTCCGCAGGCACCTGGTGCAGGCCCTTCTCTGGTCTCCAGTCCTCCCTCCTGGCCTCTCAGCCCCCTGCTCCCCCTCCCCCCTTCAGAGGGGGCCTCAGACAGGACAGGGCCTCCCAGCCTGGGCCAGGCTCCCTGTGATAAGCTGCCACCCTCACGCTGGCTGGCGGGTTTCTTTGTTCCTTGAAGGTCATGCCTCCAGGAAAAGCCTGACCTTCCGCAGATTCACAGGTTCCGGCTGGAATGCCTGGGGCCCCAGGAGAAGGTGGAAGGAGGGGGGAGGGGGGGACTGTGGGTGTCCCTGTCACTGAAGGCGTCCATCCCCACCGGCCAGCACTGGGAGCCGACAGCGTTTGCTCACACCGTCTGTCACTGGCGGGGCCTGTGGGGCAGGAAATTCGCTCCTCTGAGGGGCCTGGGGCAGCATCTTACTTTGTCTCTCAGCTGTGTTGGCTGTACCGCAGGGAAGAGCCCCCAGGCCTGGTCAGCCCTCCGAGCTGGCCACCACCTCTCCAGTCCTCTCCCCGCCCCCCAACGCCCCTCTCCCCTTCCCCCGTTCACTGTATGGTGTCTGAAAAAATCCCCTTTGAACCTCCTCTTTTCTCTTTAGGGCTCAAGTTCCCAGTCTGAGGCGGAGGGGACTTGCTTGTGGGGCCATAAGCAAGGGACAGGGGCACAAGGAAACCCCAATTCTCTGCCTGTTGCTGCATCTCACCCCTAGCTGGGCCTCGGGGTGTAGATTCTGATTTTTTCTCAGGATCACCAGACTTTTTCTCCATCTCCCCCCCACCCCCCCCCCCCCAGTCCTGCAGGAGTCAGGAGAAGCAGGAAAGGGTAAGATATTGTATTCTGTAGGTCCTGGCCACTCCCAGGCCCTGCCACACACACACACACACACACACACACACACACACACACACAGAGGCACACACACACACAGACATACACAGAGATACACACATGTACACACACACATATACACCCAGACACAGGCACACACACACACAGAGGCACACACAGAGACACATGTGCACACACATGCACACACACTCACAGGATATGAGCCCGCCGCCTCCCCATGGGAGCATTAAGTTTATTCCCAGTGAGGATGGACTCTCAGGGAGATGGGGCTGTCCGGCTGGGAACTGAGGTGGCACGGCCCAGCAGCCTGGGCAGTGGCCTCCTCCTCACAGACTAATGCCAGGGGATCAGGTAGTTGACACGACTGTGGAGAGAAACAGGGGTGAGGTGGGCGCCTCCGGGATATCCTGGGGGAAAATCAGGATGTCCACCCCTGTCCTTACCGCTCTGAAAACACAGCTTCCGCCCTGTCTCTCTGTGGCTCAAGAACCTTCCATGGCTCCCTAGTTCCCTCGTTATATTTCCAGTTGCTCTGCCTGACATCCAAGCCCCCTCCCTTCAGGTTTGCCTCACCTTTATCTCCCTCTCACCCCCAGCCATGCACCAAATTACTCACTGTCACCCCTTAGGGAACCGCCCTGGCAGGGTCACATGTCAGTAACCGAATCACACGTGCCCCTGGGTGTGCACCCCAGCTCCCACCAGCTCTGCATCCTCTCCAGCACGTGTCTTATATCTGCCTGCTCTCTGGCCCCTGTGTCCTCTCAGGCAGCCCCCCCAACCTGCCCGGCCAGGGGCACACTGGGGGGCACAGAGAGCTTGTCCCCCCCACCCCAGGTGGGTGCACTGTCGCCTGGGCGGGGCCCTGGGAGGCAGCCGCTCTCTCTGACGTGGTTGGGGGCTCCCCATCCCTCAGGAGCCTCCCTCAGGAGCCCAGGCGGAGGGAGAAGCCCAGGCGGAGGGAGAAGCCCAGGCGGAGGGAGGAAAGGCAGGCGCGGGGCGGGGCGGGCGGCTACCTACCTGTACTTGGAGCCGAACTGCCGGTACACATTCCTGCAGGAGAGGGAGGGCGTGAGCCGGGGTGGGAGGCGCATTCCCATCTTAGGGAGCCTCCCTCCCAGAGACCCGGCTCCCACCTCGGAGCCGCCAGGCCCCAGAAGGATTTC